TAACAAAACAATTTACAAAAGGCCACGGCACAAAAACCGGAAATCCTTTCCAACTCGCATATGGCACGCAAAACGAAGGCAACTTTTCCACCTTTTCCACTCTTTTCCATTGGCCGTTGTTACTGCTGTTACTCTTGTTGCTCTTGTTGCCGGTGGGTTAGGTGCCCCGGAGCAATTGTTACTGCGGCTGTGTGTTGCCGCCGCGGAAAATTGCCGCTTTTAATATTACCTTTTATTTGCAATTTCTGCTTTTTTGTGGAGCCTTTTGTAATAATGCAGTGCGCATGTAATAGGAGCCAGGTGCCACAGTGCCGAGTCGCCTCCATGCATTTATATTCGTATTCGTACTAGTATTCCCCATTGCAGCAATCATTTCCACCTAGCCAGCTCGCTTTCCCGCTTTTCCGCCGTGCCGTTGTCATCTGCCACAATTTGTACGCTGTTATTAACTGACATGCTTGCAAAGAGGATTTTTTATTTTGGTTTCTCCTGTTTCAGTTTTTTTTATATTTTTTTTTTGTTTTCTTTGCCTTCATATAGCACTGCCCGTGTGTGCTATTCAATATTAATGGCATGATACAGGGCAATGTAATATTTTGCAGCGCTTGTCAATTGGCGGTAGCTGGGAAAAAACGCCCGTTATATTTGCTTTCCCGCATCGGTTCATTTTAATAATATGTTCTGGCTACTCAGTAATCCGTTTGGCAAGAACACTGCAAGAAAAAATGGTGATATTCCAAGGAAAGCAATGTTTTATGGGCTTATCCTTAAACTACAATATTATTTTAATTAAGAAAGACAGAAACTTTTAATTTATCGATATATATACATGATGTGTTCTGTTCTCCAATTCTCAAAAACTTTGTGTGGTGCTGCAATAATATCGATATTTGACCGATAAATGCGATAATTTTCAATGCTTCAAAATTACAAAACACCAAACTTTACCATACTTTCAGTATGACTGCTTCTTCCGAAAATATTGCTTTATTGCTTTTGTATCGATATTTAATGCTAATGCCGATATAAAAATCTATGTTTTAAAGTGCGATAAATCGATATTCCGTTTGATAAAAATCTGTCTTATTTACGTCTCCAATTTCCATGTAAAATTCCTATTAATTAATAATTTAATGTTTAATAATATATCAAAATTTGCTAACCTTAATTTAAACAAAAGTTTCGATAAATTTGTCGATTTATTTTCATTATGAAAAGATTCCCCTAGAGTGCAATAATTTCAAGAGATATTTATAATATACCTCATAAATTTAAAAATAAATAATCTTGAACTTGTTGTTCGCCGTGCTAGCCTCAAAAGCTCTTCTATATCTTTTTCTATATCTGCCTGAACTTGAGTGCGTTTTTGGCCAAGAAGTCCCAGTTCTCTAATCGGACGTTGACCCGCCAAAATACGTACTTTCTGATTGGAAACGATAAAGCCGAATGGAGCGGAGTTTACTGCGCTCTTATCTGATGTTGACCTTCAGTTGAGGGCAAACTGCGTTTCTGCACCGGCTGCCTTTGTGCTATCTAATACAGTAAAGAAAAAGCACACAAATAGAAAAAAGAAAAGTAAGCCGGCAAATCCCGCATTCATCACACGAATATATAGAGTATAGAGCAGATATCTGCGAAAGCAGAACCAATCAAACGGAGAGGGACTTATCGCAAACCTGATTATATGGGGGCAACGGCGACCCTTGGCAGACTTCTTGGCAGCGGGGCAAACCATTGGGTAAACAATAGGAATAGTTCTGTTTGCTCTTCACTTTACGATGCAAATTGTTTGGCTGGGCCCATAAACTAGACGATGTCTCAAATGACATGTGGGAGCCAGGAAATGGGGGTGGAAATTGATGGCTGCGAGTTCGTTGTCATCAAGGTCGTCGTTTCGGCCAGTCGAGTGTGAAAATAAGTAGCTATGTACACATACTACTGGGTGGGGCCTGGGGACGACGCGTGCATTGATAAGCTCCAGATCCGGAGGGCCACTTATTAGCACTCATTTGCCTGTCGAAACCGCAACAAGTTTGCATCGGCGGCGGTCAATGCCCCCGGCTTGTGCAGTTTACACTATAATTAACTGCATTAGCATGCAAATTAAATTTAGTTTAATTAAATTATAAACATTCGTTCAGCGAACGCTCGTTCCTGCTGCTGTCGAAGAGTCAATGCACTTGACGCTCCAAGAAATTGAAATTGAAACAAAACAAACAGCGGCGCAAAATAAAACAAAAACAAAAGCAAAAGCTATAGCTACGAATTGAGATTTAAGCGAGCGGCGGCGGCTATCTCTTTCCCTGGCTATATGCTCCCTCTCTTTCGACCCTAACTGCCCCCCTCACTCTCTCTCTCTGCCACCCCCCTCTGTGAAGTGTGTTTAATCTGCTGGCAAAGTTTCATTGACTCGCTTAGGCAAAAGCTGCAATTAAAATACAAAATTTCGAAAAGGGGATAACGCGGCAGCGGCGAGCGGTTCAAGATTATTTACGAGCTACGGCGAGCGGCTTGTTAGTCACGTTTTTGCAGCAGACGTTGCCCCGGGTTCACTTGATTCTCCCCGAAAGCAACAACAGCAACCAGAGCTTAGTAATACTATATACCACACATATCGTATAGAATATAGAATGCAAGTGAAACAAATCACAGCGAGTGACACAGAAATGGCAATTTGCAAGGCAAATGGCATCGGAATCGAAATCGATGAGCACCCGAGGAATTTCCTTATAGAGGTCAGAGCTGATACGTGCCTCTTGACTCATTTTTTGCTACCCTGGAGTCCCCCAAACCGTTGGCTGTAAATGACCTTCGATGTCTAGACGTATTTGACAAAAAAGAAAAACAGCAAAGCAACAAAAAAACCGAAAGGAAAAACACAAACGCTCAGACACAAATAATGCGTGATTCCGTTGGAAAATCATCGAGTTTATTCAACTCTCGCCCCCCACGCAACCCTCTTATCCCTTCAGTGGGCGCTGGCTGGATTTGGCCTGGCAAAGGACCTTCGCCTTTATCGCTGACAGCAATTAGCGGCGGCCCAGATAAGGGAATTACGCAGCCGCAGCCATGAAATGTTTGATGTCTCTAAAACGAAACTAAAGCCGTTAGAATTTTAAGCCCCAACGAAAACAATAAACAGCCTAATCCTTTCACGGTGCTCGGAGTGCTCGCTGCCTGCGGGGGTTTTATGATTTAAGATTTAACTTTTTGCCCTCGATGCGTGCCAATGACACAATAAAAGTTGCCCCGGGCAACGCAGCCAGCTCTGTGGTAGAGGGATCCTTTCGAAACGAGCTGCTCGCACGCAGGTCCCAAAAACGTAACCGAATCCTAGTCCTAGACGGCAACGCACCTTGTCGCCTTCGTCTGCCTTTAGGCCATAAAAATGCCAGCGAGGAGCCTGGGAGCCAGATGGGGGCAGGAGCTTGGCGGGTGTCAGAGAGCCCAATTCTTAACTAAACAAAAAAAGGAGACTTACGACTAAGAAATACCTTGGAAATAATTAACACATTTTTGCTTAATTATCCAAAAGAAACCTATGATAAGTGGAATTAGAAATCATTCATGAGATCTTAGCTTCCGAATCCTTTAAAAACATAATGTTTTTCTTTCAATCCTTTGTTTATATAAGAAAATAGACATATTACATTAAATCAAAAGGCCCATCCTGTCAGCCTAATACTCACCTGACTGTTGGCTGCTGGGGTGCCCCAGGGACAGGCTGGGAAAGTGCGTGAGCTGGACTCGTTCCTTCTTACGTTCAGTGACTTTGGCTCTCTATCTTGCTCTTAATATTTTTGTTTTGGCCTGGCTCAGCAGGCGGCTCGGCTCCAGCCTCCTTTCTGGCCCAGTGTCAATGGCACTCGCGAATCGAGGTTGTTGGACCCGCAGAGCAGTCGCCGCCGCCAACGCAGAGTCCTTGTCCTTCGTCCTTCATCCGCCGTCGTCGGCCCCGTGCTGTGCCATATTTTTAGCCTACTTTGCGGTGCCAGTGCCAGCGCCCCCAAGTATATTTAGAGGTCAATTATCTCGGCCAGGGCAATCCATCATTGGCCATGGCCAGAACGCCAACGCCAACGCCAACGCCCGTGCGTATGCAACGCCTTCTCCTGGCTCTCCTCCGGCTAATGATGAGTAATTTCAGTTCATTTTCAGTTGGGGCCACGAGCATCTTTAATAACAATTACGCCCGGGCCCAAGTAGAGGGCTGATTTAATCGCAAGCCTTTACTTTTTCGGCAATCCCCGGGGAGCAGTCGAGGTGTGGGGTTATTCAACTTTTGATTAATGGCGGCGCATGCATGACAAATGGCCGGCGGCCACAATGCACTTGTAATTGTTGTTATTGTTTTTGTTGTTGCTGCTCTGCCAGTCATTCAATTAACTAAATTTATAACTCCGACGATGGCTCATGCATTCCGGGTATTGTTTTCTCAATTAAAACCCGTCCGATTTCCCAGAAAAAGCCTCGGCCAAGCGAAGTAACATGCAACTCCTGGCCAGCTCCTGCCCGGTAATTAGCCGCAGTTAACACGGCCAATTAGGGCCGCCGGCGAAATCATGTCAATGCCTCGCACTTATCGTTAATCAACGGCCCGGCCCAAGACCGGCAAACATGAAAATGGCAAAAGGAAAATCGCAGCGATACGGATCGCAAGGAAGAGGAGGAAAATGCAGTGGCAAATCGCAATTTGTTTGCTCACGAAAGTCGTCGGTTTGACCCCGACATGGTAAACTTGGAAATGGGAGCACGAGGCTATCTCTGAACGGAAGGGGTTGGTGGTGTGCCAGTTTTTTTTTTTTTTTTTGTCATTTTTTCCCTGGCCTCGCCGAGCAGCGTTCAATGCCAGAAAGAAAACATGAAAATCGAATTCCAGTGAAGGGAAAAACCGCGCTTATAACTAGGGATTTTCCCTGTAAATACTACACACGATTATACCGAAAAGTTTTCGCACAAAATTTTAATTAATTTTCCACCTCTCTTTCGACTCGTTTTAGGTGAGTGCCATGGAGTCTATTAGCCCGCTTTGGGTCCCTGCAACTGCGGCCAGAACTGTGAGTTAACTTTTCAGCCGCTTAAATGCCCCGGGCAACAATAACAGAAACAAAAAACGTGAAGCACTTTACAGTCAAAAGGAAAAAAAACATGAAAAAAAGAAAATATATCGAGTGGGGCTTACAAAGTTTGCCGTAAAAAAAAACCATTGAACGGTTAACGAACGAAAATCGACCCATTGAGCGAAGCCTAAAAGGCAATTTAAGCGCCTTTTGTGCACATCGCGCATACGCCGCATGGGCCGGCTTTGCGAGTAGTCCCTCCTCCTGGACCTGGAGGTGGACCCGGGTCTGGAATGAATACTGGTTGCTACCAACCAACCAACCAACCGACCAACTCGGCCTGTCCCCCGGTCATTACGAAAGTTATTCATGCGAACTGTTTGCCCCGGCCATTACATCAGCCGGAGAGTGTCTGGGAAAATGCGGAAATTTCGGCGCTGCCAGGAAAATTTATGAAAATTGCCATGTGCCAGACTGGTCCCGACTAGATCGCCGCCACTCCTCGTCCGATTCCTTTTTTTTTATTCACTTTCCCTGCCAATTGTTTCGAGCGGGTCAAGCGGGTGGCAGCTGCTGCCGGCCAATTGCCGGCCTTTATTTGGCCCGGCCATTTGCATTCCGAGTATTGCCACGTCCCCATGTCCAGCAGTTGTCAAATTGTCAATGCAAATGCCTTGCCACGTCCACTCGACGGATATTCTATCTATCGGCGTTGAATTTCAATTAAGTTTCGCTCGCGAGCTGGCGAGCTCTTTAAATTGCATTTGACCGATATCGGATCGAATGGGGTCGCTCTGGGGTTTTACTGTGCGCTGTTCTGCTTTTCTGGGGCTTTCCAACCCCCGTGCGAATGGCGAACCTGATTCCCCGAATCGCATTTAGCAACCATCACCCCTCACTGTCCAAATTATGGTATGACAACTCCTCTGCGCTGACTCCTTCGAGTCACGAACTCCTCGTCCGCATATCAAATAACAATTGCTCAACATTCGAGTGGAGCTGGGTGGTAAACAGAGACCCGACCGACCGCAAGCAAATTGAATTAATTAAGAAACGTGTATTATATTACCCAAAGGCAGGGGGAGGGGGCGCTTATGATAAAGCAAAATTAATACAGAGAACTGGGAAGGGAAAAGCCTAAAAGCCCACGCTAAGCTATGCTGAATTATTAAAATGATTTAAGCTGCCAAATTGCTTAAGCAATATTTTCCCTTTTTCTTTATTCTTCATTCGACTTTTCGGTTCGGTTCGAGGATTTCCCCCGGCCAAGTAGAGTTTCGCCCACGCTTTGGGCCCTTAGTTTCGGGGTTATTGTTCGAGTCGAGAAAGAGAGGTAAAAGAAAGCAAAATTCTAATTAAAAATCTTCCGGCATTTTGGCGTTTTATCTAAACAGGAAGAGCTTGCCGCAGACAGAGCACAACAACAAAGTCTCCCAGAGAGCGAGAGTGCGATAAAGGCGACACTTTCGCCGGAGTCCTTGCCGCATAATGAAAAGTCTTCCGAATTGGGTCAGGCAAGAAATTAAAAAGCTCCCCCTTGGTGTGTTTTTTTTTCTTGGGCGAGAACAAAGGAAAAAGTTAAGTTGGCAACTTCAACTTAAAGCTGCTGCTGCTGCCGTTATCATTCGCAATTAGACGCGTTGACACTTGGCCCCCGGTATCCCAACTTGGCCAACTTTTTGCCGACTTTTCCGACTTCTCTGGGAGTGAAAAGTGGCAAGTAAAGAGCGAAAAGTTCAGTGGGCCATCCGGCTTACAGATTCCGGAGTTGCCCTGCAAATTGGACGGTTAAGTGGAAGCATCTGCCGAGGAGGAGTCGCAGGACTCGCAGGAGTGTGTGCAGCAAATTGAATATTTAAATCCTCAACTGAAATCCTTGCATGCGTCAAATTGAAAAGGGTTTGTCCCGGGACTGCCTCCTTTGGTAGCATAAAATATGCAAAGAAAACGGAATGGAAACGAAACAAAATTATGTTTAATGCAGCGTTTTTCCCAGCTATTTCCCCCTTGTTTTCCCATTTTTTTTGTTTTCTTTTGGAAATAGAAATTGCTTTCAAATTTGCTTACATTTTTTATTTCTCCAACTCCCAAGTCCAACTCGTTGTTTTTCTCGTTTATTTCTGGGCTGCGTGCGTGTTCAATTTGCAAGTGCAATGGAAGTGAAATTGAAATTCACCCTGCCTGCGGCTGTCTGTGTCTCAGTCTCTGTCTCTGTCCCTCTTACTCCATCCATCTCTTTCTGGTTACTTGGTTTTGAAGTTTGGGTTTTGGTTTCCACTTTGTTGCGGCTGTTGTCGCTGTTTATGCAACCTACCGCTGCCACTGCAATTGGCAATTGGATTTCCTGCTTGCACTCGAAATCAAAACTTTGTTTTCTACACGTACATACATATATACCTATATATATAGGGAAGTAATCATGCGAGTCCAAAGTTGATCCTTAGGACTCCTCCAAGTTAGGTAAACATCTGGTTCCGGGCAAAAGTATGCCAAGTCAGCAATTCAATTCGCAGGACTTTGTTAACAACTTTTCCCAGCATTTGCCTAAGTCCGTATTAACCCATTTTTTGGGGGCTGAAATGCAGAATGTGGACGCTGCCCTACCTCAGCGAGGATTAGGCCTTGGCTCTTTGGAGCGAGAGCTCTTCAACATGTTGCACACATCGTATACTCGATATGAATCGGCCGCCGAAAGCCGATTGCCGCCATGTCTAATTTGCTGGCCATAAGCAGCTTACCAACTTTCCCCGCCCCCTCGCTCCGATCCGCCCATATTAAAAAGGCATTTTAAACACACACACACACACATAGTCTTGGCCTTCTCCCTCCTTCTGCTGTTTTTTATTTCTGGCTAAACGACAACGACAACTTTTGAGTGGCGCATAATACCTGAAAAGTAATGTGACGACCGACCGATATCGGTCGTCCTTGGGGAAATGATAGACTCAAACTCGAACTGGCAAACACCGAAAAAAGCCTGAGAGGAACTCAGGCTCAGGCAAGTTGATTATATTTCGTATTTGGCTTTTTTCCCTTGGTCATTTCAAGTGTTCTTCTGCCATTTTGCGCAGTTTTTCCGTCAGTTTCCTCCTTTCTGCTGGAAAATTATTAGATGGCCATTTTTCCGGCACGTGCTTGGCACACCCCCAGCCCCGTCGCGACGTCGAAAAAGGCATCAAGTTTTTGTCAGGGCCAGTTTACGAGGCGATTGCCTTCGGGGGCCAAATTGAAATGTGCCTCGGGAGACCCAAATGGTCTTCAAATGGCCGAAGAGCCTGAAATATGATAGCAAACGGTACGGGGCGGGCGTCGCTCTCCTCCCAAATTGAGATATTTTCCAATTTACATCTCCGGCGAAGCCATCGAAGCAGTGCAACATAAATTCCCAGATACAATGTGACATCGCTCGCGCTCTATATATACTTATGTATATACATATATATGATGCATCTCGAGTGGCGTTCGTACACAAAGCGGAATACGCTTGACCTGGTTTAGTTCTGCATCCCCCGGCACTGGCGACAGGGACACTCTCGTCCCTACAGCTCCCATCCCCTAGATCTCTCCCTTGCCTTGCAGCATACATAAATTTGGCCAAGTACAGTTACTGCCATGTATGTATGCTCGCTCGCTAGCAGGCCTTGATGCTGCCCCATTGTTGTTGGCCATGTTTTTGTTTCGGCAGCCTCTCGCTTGGCAATTGCAATTTCGCAAGGTCACCCAGGCGCAAAGTGAATTCGCTCCCTCTCTCTCTCGTGCTGTCTCTATGTATACATTGAGATATATAAAAAATATATATATATGTATATCTGATGACCCAGTTACTGGGACCCCTGGCTTAACTGGGCCTGCATTCTGGCCAAGGGTTTCTGGGTCACAGTACAGTTTAAGCCGGCGACAAGCGCAGCTTCCACTCGGCAAGCCAAATGGCAGCCAGTCAGGCTCAAATGAAAATAGATGAGGCCCAGAGCTCACCCCATAAATATGGCTTGTTCAAACAGAGAGAAATTGGACTTACTTTTGGTAATAAATTGGGAGGAAAAGAGAGATTAAAATAAGGGTTAACGTAATAATACCTTTTTTGATGAGAATTTCTAGGATTATAATTATTTAATTGTATGTTTAGCACCAAGGATACGTTTATAGATCACCTGAGCATGTCTTTAAATATTTATTATAATTATTAAGGAGTGCCTTAGGAGTCTGTAGGTTTTAAAAACATCTAAAAAATTTTAAATAATTTTACATTATAAGAATAGAAAATCTTACTAATTTCGGTACTTTTTTTGTTAGAGGTCTTAAAAAGTATTTATGATCAAATATGGAATTTCGTTTCTTTCTCTGCTATATAACACGTATTTGTGTGTAAACTTGATGAAGGTACAGTCGATCTATGTGTGTGTTTGTGGTATGTCCTGGCTGCCTGTCACAAAGTTTGACATTCCATTCGCCCCGTAAGCCAATTACTTTTTAGGTCCAACGTCCAGCCAAGTCCTTCGCCACTATCCATCCGCCTGGCAACCAACCACACATCTTGTTAAGGTCCGTGTTGATTAGGACCGTTCCCAACAGCCAAGAGGAGGAGTAGCTGGGAAGGGGTATGAGGCAATGGCAACGGCAACCCATTCAAGCTCCATTTGGCAATTACCGCAGCAATAAAAGTCAACGGCAAGTGCAGCCAGCCACACATTTTATTAGCAGGCAGCAGTAGCAGCAGCAGCCCTTGGTACAATTTACGTGTGTCAAATAATAATTTCGTTGTCCCGGCCGCTTATCTCCGGGACAAGTGAAAATCCCCTTTTTTCCAGGGGCCAGAAATTTACATTTCACAATTTACGAAAATTTTTATGTCATAATTGGATTCAGTGTGGGCCATTGTGTAGCTTTTCCCTTACTTTCCCACTTACCCCCCCAGAGATGTGACATTGAACAGCGATAACGGGTGGCGACAGAGCCGGATAGCTGGCGATGGGTGATGCGGCTTTAAGTTAGGGTTGCGGTGGCCATTAAGACTTGGCCCAAGTATGCCTGCTGATAAGGAATTTAATGCCCGAAGGAGGAGGCGGGTGGTGGGGTGGCCGGGGTAAATTGAGCGTGGCCGGATATTGTCGTTGCTGGCAGACATGTTTAGTGGAGCACAGAACTAGTCGGGACGATGTACGTTTGTTTTTGACAGCAGCAAGCGGAATTCATTTCCACTTCCTGGCTGTTGCATACCCTCGGGCTGACCTGGAAATTGTTCCCAGAAAAGTACATCTTTCGAAACGTTGCAATGCCATTCCATTTTGATCTAATTTTCGGTGGATACAAATTGAGCCAAGCACATGAGTTACACATTCGAGTTGTGTCGAGTTTTTCGGCAGCATGTTTCCTCTCAAGTGAACACAAAGTCGCCTGTTTCACGAACTTTTCGCATAAATTTTATATACGAAACGTGTTGGCATGTGTCCCTGTGTAAATGCACAGCAAGAAATGTAGGATCCTGGGGATAGAGTTAATAATTCTTTAACTATTTAAAGAGATATGTGGCGAGGTCACAAGATCTTTATTTATGAGAAAAAACTTGTTTTTTGGTACTATTATTTTGTTAAGAAGGCTTTTTTTTCTGCAAGTGCCGCTCAGGCTCAACCCTTAAGCCGGGATATCTAGCCCGTTTTTGGCCATGTCGCTGGGCCATTGTGATTCTGTCTGCCTGCCCGCCGCGCTGAAAATATCAAAATCAACGCCATTGTCATATTTGTTGAATGAATGAACACTCAACCTCAATTTCAGCTTCCATCGTTGCCGCTGTCAGCCTTTTTTCCGAGCTTTTCCCCAGCGGCAATGACAGTTTCGCGTGTGTTTGTCACATCAGTTATGCATGTGTGTTCCGTTCCGAGCTCCTCATATATTTATGACACTCCACTCTGTCACTGTCTGCGGGGGCAGCGGTGGCAGCCGCGGATTCGAATGCGAGTGCCTGTTTTTATTTAAACGCAATCAAATTAAGCGCCCAGCAAATTGGCAAGGCCATCAGCATTGTGTAATCAAGTTTACAAATTTCCACCGCCCCCTAAAAAGGTGAAAATCAAAATCAAAATACATACAAAACATACACAGCATAGAAAACCTACCAAACTACTCATTCAACCCCCCCGAACAGACCCAATTTGCTCGGCGGCAACTCGTTACTAAAATAGCATTTCCCCGACCCAGGGCCGGGGCTGATGATGAGGTTGATAAAGTCACCGAAAAAGTTTGTTGAAAGCCTCAACGAACACCCTTATCCGATGTGACCCAATTTTGCTCGCTGCCTGTAAACACAGCGATAAGACTTTAAAATCAACGGCCCACATGCAAAGCGCTGCGAATTCGATTTGCGACGAGGCAGGGCCATTGCAATACACACGAAATACATATAGGATATAGCCATATATAGCCTCCTGCCCTGGCAATGCAAATTACTGAAATTGCCATGACGAACTTAGGCCGCTTTAATGGGGCGCACAGAAGAGAAGGGAGAAAAATAAATAAAAAAGGAAGCTCTTCCTGTTCCTCCCGGGGGCGAAAACATAATTTGCGTTGCCTACTTTTGTGCGCGGCAGCCTGACAGCCAGGCGTTGAAGTATAAACGGCGCCGCGAGTGCAATTCGCGTTTGCCGGGCATTAGGCCCTATTAGGAGCAGGGTGTAAACCTTTCAAGTGGCTTATAAGCCATCTGGCACACTTTCCTTTGGGGCAGGCAGGCAGGCAGGCTTTCCGCAATACCAGGCTTGCTATCTATGCTATTTTTGGAGTCAATAATTTATGCTTCCGCTCCATTTTCCCCCTATGTTGAACTTCCAGTGACCCAATTCCGTTAACAGAGCAGCCCACTCGCTCTTCAACTCACGGCAACTCTCTTTTTCGTCCTGGCCTTATGCTCTTTGGCTGTTAAACTGTCCTAGTTTTTGGCCCAAAGTTAACAGTCAGGCAAGTTGTTGGCTCACACTCCAGAGAGAGAGAGAGAGAGACCAGCTGTGAGAGAGAGAAATTGTGTGTGTGAGGGGGTGTTGTGTGTATACACCCACCCACCTCTATATACTGTTGACCCAATTCCGCGGCTGTCCTTCCACAGCTGTTCTGATTTCGGTTTCGATTTCGGTTCGCATTTCCGCTTTTGTGTATTTTTGGCCCCGACTCGACGTCTCTCTGGGGTTTGGGGTTGTTTATGCTGGCTTGGGAACTGCGGACTGGGAAATGGGAAAATGGGAAAGCGCCAAGATGAACAGAGAGCGCACGAAAACAGGAAAACTTTTATTTACCCCACTCACGTACATGCCGGGCTCGCTGTGTGTGTGTGTGCAGAATGAGTTTTCCCAAAGATGTGTGTGCGCTGTCAAGTAAATTTTCATTGAATGCGACGCGTAGAAGCAGGGGAAGGGAAATTGCATGGCAACGCAGGACTGCCTCGGCAGATAACGTCAAATAAATCGATGGAGAATTATTAAGTCCTCAAATTAATAAGGAAGGATGTTCTGCTCATCAGTTCTTTGGGAATCGAAAAATATCAGAGCTACTCGCAGGGATCAGCCTGAAGTATGCCCCCGAGTAAATACAAAAATATACTTACTTAAACCGAGAGTGTACTATATATACTCTGATAACCGGGAGGAGGCCCTGGAACTGGCGCCAGTCGGCGAAACTGCCCCACTTTCCACGTCGCTGCCGCTTTTCCTGCAAAAGGACCTTAAAGAAGATTCATGTTATGCCGCCCACTCACATTGCCTATTTATGTTTGCCCGGACCCGGAGCCGGCTTCCTTCCCGCTGTTTTTCCTGCCAAATCAGGACATAGTGCGGTAGTCATTGCCGCCGTAATGCGCACACTTCTCAAACGGGGGTGGAATTTTATTTCCTGCTCCAGCAGCGCCCGAAAGTTTGCCAGCTGGAGTTCTCCGCCGGCGAATGGTTTTCTTTCATTAGCAAACAGCCGTCCCATCCCTCATTAGAGCCGGATAATTAACACGCACCAATACACGGGCAACGTGGAGCGTTCAGAGACATAATTCAAGCAGCTTTAATTTACTTTCGCATTCGACTCACTTGGCAGGTGGGAATGGGGGACAGGAGGACAGGAGGATGGTACACCATCGGATTGATAGACCGAAATGATTCCAAACTCGTTTCCGCATTAATTGAATATAATTGAGGCGCTGCGTCAGCTGGGAATTGAAAATTACGCATACGCAGCGTTTGACAAACGAGCGATATTAGGGGGCCGTGCTTATCGGTCGGCGAAAACAAAACGGCGGCATTAATAAAAACCCCTTTTCCAGACAGTTGTGGCCTTAAGATGCCAGTCACGCAGGCGAGCAACTCCGGAAAACTGCAAACGGCAATGGCAATGGCAGGAAAACACTTTCCAAGTAGGAGCACATACACACACACACACACACGCATCTGGCAACAATTGCCTAGTGTGCCCGAGTGTGCGTGTGTGGCAGTCGCAGGCCCTTATTTATGGGCCAGGATATGCGTTGTATCCTGGCCCCAGAAGTCTGGCCGCAAACGAATTACGGCCGCCCACTAATTGCACCAAGTTAAAACGAAAATGGTGTAGAACTTTCCGCTTTTCGCTCACTTTGCCTGCCTTTGGCAGTAAATGTTACACCAAAAAAAAGGATAAAAGGGAAGATTAATAATAAAATAAAACCAAAAAACAAATAGGGCCTTTTAGTACAAACCTTGACTTACATTATATGTTAACACCATCTTTTAACGTTGAGAAAGTGAATTAAATTACTTCAACAAAATCCCTTTAACCTCTTAATTTTCACCTAATTTCAAATTTGGCACACAGGCTTTGCTAGTTAATTTTTTCCCGTGTACACACTCCTGCAGATGAGTGCCAACCACGTGCGTCAACAATTTACGCCGCTTAAGTAGCGCTGGATATTTATGTTTATGATTACGTTGCGGTTCGCAGCCTCCCCGAATAGCAGCCCCCCTTAAATGGCATTCAGGCGATTCCCTGCTTGCCTCGCGCATTACGCATACGCCGCATGTGCCCTGTGCAAAAAGTGCTGCGGCTTAAGTGCGGCCAACAAAGGGGGAGCGGAGTAAAAGCCAGCGAACAAAGCTCTCTCTCCCCCTCCTGCTCGGGAAAATCTCAAACCAAAAAGTTGTAAACAAATCGTTAATCACTCCTGCGCCCTCCCAAGGACAGAGCCGAAAAGTGAAAAGCGAAAACTCAATTTTCAATTTCGCCCAACGCTGTGGCACAAGGACAACAATTGCCAAAGCAAGGACGCAATCAGGGGCTGGCAGTGCCCGCAAAACTGTATGTAAGCCAGAGCCAAGTATTTCAACTGGGTCAACTGCCGGCGTCGCTGCCGGCGCAGCAGCTGCAGCGCTGCCCTAACCTTCAGCATAAAGCGCAGCATAAATGCAGGCGCATAAAAAGCGACGGCGACGACGACAAGCAAAAAGCTGAGCGCGAAAAGCGTGTCAAGGCGAGCGGCAAACGGAGCAAAGCGACCGCAAGGTGACCCAGTAAATAGGCGGGCGGGTGGGTGGTCTATGTACTGGTTGGTTCTGGTGGCCCCGGGGGCGGATGCTCGGCAAGGACGTACCGGACCCGGGCATGTTATCAGTGCAGTGTATAGCGATGCCGCCTGCTGCCTGCCATTCGTGCGGCATCGTTTGCCGCTCGGGCGAGCGTCCAAGGATTCAGGCAGCCTGCCAGCCAGTTGCATTGTCCGCACCAACACAGTCGCACTTGGCACCGGGCCGGCACCGGTTCGAATCGCTCCAGCTCCTCTTTGGTCGTGTTCCGTCGCGGTTTCCCTTCGCCAAGTATGAATGCCATGGCACTTAACTACTACGTGGAGCGCAGCGACTACGAGAGCTATGGCAGCGATAGTCCCATGGTGGACTGCTCCTCGCGCTCCTCGTCGGCATCCTCAGAGGATTCCCTGCTGCAGCCCTGTTCCCGCCAAGTACGATAAGGTTTTCCACAGCATATACTTTAACTGCAGACAAAAGTAATATCCTACAAATAATATAAAATCATCTAATTGCTATTTTTCTTCATCTCTTTGCAGTCCAAAAAGTTCCGATGCGTTTTTCCAGGATGTCACAAGGTGGAGCCCGACCAGAAGAAAATCGAGCGTCACATTAGGAAAGTGCATTTGCGGTAAGTTGCCAGATTCCTCCTCCTCCTCATCCTCCGTGTGGGAATTAAGTGTTTAGGGTGGGGGCGGGCCTTGACTTAGCCATCGCATCGTCATGGGGCTGGGTGCCGCGACCTTCTCCGCAAGTGGTTCCACGGGAAGCTCGAAAGTGGAGCACTCGAGCGCAGTAAGCAGGTCACACGACGAGTGCGCTGCTCCTCGCCTCGCCAGCACGCAGATTACAGTGCGCACACACCACCTGCAGGCCGAAGTGGGTGTAGTGCAGTGCAGCGCTTTTGAGGCCAAGGTCCAGTCTCCGTCTCCAATCTCCCACACACGATCCGCGCTGAGCTTTGACACCTGGCAATCTCGTTTCCTATGTAAATCAAAGGGGCCTGGGGGCTCAGTTAATTCCACACAAATAAAAGACGCTTGGGGGTTTCGTTTTTTGTTGCTTTTGCTTTGACATTTTTTGTTGTTTCTCTCTCGCGGTATACGTATCTATATGTATATAATATGTTTATAGTTATGTATGCAGTGTGTGTTGGTGGA